CAAAACCATTGGCCTTGTATTATTGTGCTGAAAGTTAAATTTAGTGTGTTTGTCTTTGATAAAGTCCGATAGTGCAAATAACGACGTTAAAGTTCCAGGAAGTCATTGCTTATATATTTGGGGCTTTCAAGCTACGCCAAACCGACAAAAAATAAATATAATAAAAAATACAGATAAAATAAATGAAAAATGCATTTAGAAAACAATAATTGTGCGCTGCCCGAATCACATACATGGACAGAAATAAGGATTTGTTGGTGTATAAACAAGATTTCGTCCATAATTTTATTAAGGCTCATTCTTCAAATTGAAGCCTCATTCACAAATGATTTAATTGGTTTGTCATTTGAATTACAATTTTATGCATTTACATATACACTTTTAAACGAAAATTGAGGAGGAACCGTTTACATGAGTTCCTGTATACAACATACAAATAAATAATAAATATCGCAGTTATTATTATGGTTTCCTCTGGGACCAGGATTCAAGTCTCTGCCAGGGTTCCATGCGTGCCTGTTCTCCCTCTGTCTTCGAGGGGTTTTCTCAATTTCCCTCTGCACCCCAAAAACATGCTGAGGTTAATTAGAGTTGCCAAATTGCCCGTAGGTGTGCATGTGTGAGTGACTGGTGTGTAAGTGTGCCCTGTGATGGGACGGCGCCCCACACTGGGTTGTTCCTTGCCTTGCGTAGGTAGCCTCTGGGACAAGACCTGGACCCCCGTGGCCCTGAATAGGATAACCGGTTAAAGAAAATGGATGGTGTGGAAATTGGAAGTGCGCCGAGAAGGGCAACAGCCACATTTGCAGTGATGAAATCCCAACCAAAATGCTGCCCACCAAAACACAGCTCCACATACCTCGTGCCATAGGTGCGGATGGGGGGCCCATGCCCATTGGTCAGGGAGTCGACCTTCGATGCGGGCAGAACGCTGCTTTGCGCACCCGTGTCGCATAGGAAACGTCGTCCAGAGAGTTTGTCTTGGATGAACAGCAGCCTGCCGGCACGGCCGACACTCATGGCCACAGCTGAGCGCTGGCTGTGGTGTTTCCCGTCCCCCAGAAGGCACATGGAGAATGGCACCGCTTAGCTTTGGGTCCGAACTTGGCATGGGAAAAACATAGCCCAGGGTCCCGGCGCCGTGGGGCTACTGCCGCCGCAACGGTGATTGGTGATTGGAGCCGGAAGAAAGGAAG